TTATTATTATTAAAATTGAAAACTTAACTGCAATAATTCATGTTGTTTAAGGGCCTTGTACTCCTGACTTCATGGAATTGTACAGGGAATTTCTTCTGATGAGTAAATTAATCTTTAGACTGCTTTACCTTTATTGATTTATACAGTTCACATATACATACGTATGACAATTTATCTACTTATGACCCCCACTGAATTTTTACTTTTTTCTTGTTTTTCACTTTTTCTAGCAATCTGTAAAATCTGTGAATTATCCTTTGAAACAGAGCAAGTTCTTTTGCAACATATGAAGGACAATCATAAGCCAGGTGAAATGCCGTATGTTTGCCAGGTATCTCAGAGTGAATGTTTTGTATTTAGATGACACCTTCCCCCTGTCTTTACTGTTAATAACCTTTTAATGAGGAAGTAAAACTTTTTGTTTCAGGTATGCAACTACAGATCCTCAGCTTTTTCAGATGTAGAAACACATTTTAGGTCAGTTCATGAAAATACAAAACACTTGCTATGCCCATTTTGCCTCAAAGTAATTAAAATTGGAGCACCGTATATGCATCATTACATGAGACATCAGGTAAGCGGATATGTTCAATCATTAATGCTAGAAAAATGCTAAATATGTGTCATAAATCTCTGGGGGAAAATCATGACTGATTTGTATGGATGTTACTGGATAAGAATAGTTATTAAAAACGGTAGAACTACTAAAACTGCTTCTTTTGAAAAGTGTTAAAGGGAATTGTTAGACTTTGTCATGTTTTATGTGACAGCAGCTCCCTGTTTAAAAAATAAATCTTGGAATATCCTTAAAAGAGTCTCTTCTATTTGGTTTCTTCATTAAGTTGTAATCTGCTTTTTTTGAGGTTACTAGCAAACCTTACACTAGTTCAAGTAGAGAAAAAGAGTCATGAAATACTGTGTCTTCTTGTAACTGGTACCCTGACTGCTCCTCTTAGTAATGATACTACATTGCATATTCAAATATTTAAATATTCTCTCTTGAATTGCTACACAGTATCCTGGCTTTGTACAATATTAGGACTTTGTCCAGTTGATGTTTTAGAAAGTGAGTGACTGTTGCTTGAGACAAGCTGGGGTTGTTTATTATGACATTCATGCTTAATATGGATTGTCTTCCCTTTTTAAAAGAAAAAAGGAATATACCGTTGCACTAAGTGCAGGCTGCAGTTTTTGACATGCAAAGAAAAAATGGATCATAAGACTCAGCATCACCGAACATTTAGGAAACCCAAGCAGTTAGAAGGATTGCCTCCTGGAACAAAGGTAAGTGTTCATACATACAGGGAAATTAGAGGGGGCAAAGGAAAAAAAAAATGTATTGGTAGAGAAAGGGATGGAATAGAAAAAAGTGCTTTTCTCCTTTCTTTTCCAGAGCAAAGATTTATTTTTTTTTCTCCTGCCATTAAAACTCTAAAAAATGCTCCTGTTTCAAAAATTGCCAGGCACAGGTAATGGTTTCTTCCTGGTGACATATGGTGATGCTCTCTGTTTCATTCTTCCATACTTGTATATGCCAGTAGTCCAGTCAGTGCTGCTGCTTTCTTGAGCTGTTGATTACATTGCCTCCTCCCCTTTATCCTTTCTTGTGCTAGGAGAAAAGGATGTAGTCTGGATGTTGATCTGAGAGGTCTGCAGAATTTCTTGTGAAAGATTTTCAGCCTGTGGAAGGTGGTGGCAAAAAATCACACAGAGTGCAAGACCTACTTCTCCATAACAATATGTGCTTAAAATGGTGTTCACTGGGTCTTTTTTTAGCTCCGGCATTTGAAAATGGGGGGTGGGAACCATACAATTTTCTGCTAAATATTTTATGAGGCAAACTTGGGTCCCCTCAAAACATTTAGGCTGTCTTCAAATAATTCTTCCATTTCTTGAAAAGGAACCACTTAGACTAGGATTTTCCTGTAGATTTCAAGACATTTTCCTACTGTTTTTTACTGAAATGTGAAGATGTGTCTTTTCAGTTGAAAGGAAGAAAATTAACATTTTGATCAGCTCTTTGCAGTTCACTTGCTGTAGAATCAGGAAAGGAAAATGATTGAAGTTGATGTTGATTGTGTTGCTTGGCAGAATGTAAAGCAGTGATTCTCTATTCCGTGACAATACCTCAATTTTGTAAAGACTTCAGGGTCTTCATGATTTAATAAAAGTGTAGGTTATGTTAAAATTTTGGTGTTAAGACCTTGATGGGATGTAAATTATAAGACTGAAGAGCTTAGAACCAGGTTTAGAAGACGAGGTTCTTATAAACTATGAGTATGGGCAAGGAGTATAAGTAGGGGTTTAATTAGCTACAAGTAAAAACCAGAGAACCAAATTTAAGGGCAAGACAGTGGAGTGTTATAATGCCAGTTGAGTGGTCAGAAACAAGAATTAGTCCTTGGGGGTCTAGGATGAGGGGCAAAAATATCAGAAGGAATTACATTGGCTAATCATGAGGCCACAGGGGTTTTGTTAAATCCAGGCACTGGTGGGGTTGTTTCATATTCTTCCTAGTAGGGCTAATTGAGCTGACCCTTCTGTTTCTTCTTCACAGACACATTTTTTTGTTTTAAGAAAGCGGGACGTAGCCAGTTGCAGGTCTGAAAAGAGAGCAGTGTGTTTTCTCGAGACTATTTCCACCAAAACAAGTGCTTTTTAAGCATCCAGTAGACTACTGAGGTTAGGTTTACTCTGGTCAACAAGTATTTAATATTTTTCAAAGTAGTCTATGCTGGGGATTGTTTCTTATTCTATGATTTTTATCCTGAAGTGTCTTAAACTTTGAGACAAATAGAAATGGGAACTTAGCTTTAATCTAAATGGAAAAAAAAATTATTTCATACTTGTAGGTGACTATTCGAGCGTCTATTGGATCTCTTCAATCAGGATCAGCTACATCTTCTGTTAGTACAAGTACTTCCACATTTCAGTTATCACCTAAAGCTAAAAATACAACCACTAAAAATCATAGCAGATCTCATACAACTAAGTCAAAAGCAAAATCAAAACCAACTACATCGAAGAAGCAAAATGCATGGACCAACAGCAAAAAAAAAAAAGAAGTTACAAATACAGCATTGCATAATCTAAGGTAATATATTAAAATTAAAAATACCTTTATACTTTGAAAATAAATAACTGATCATTTCATTGTTTTTCAATAACTTCTAACACTGCAATAGAGAAGATTTGTCACTTCAGTTTTGCAGAAAAAGCAGGTGCATAAATTTTCCACATACTGGTACTGTGATTATAATTCTGAACCTTCATTTACCAATTTTATTTGTGGTAGACTACTTTATGGTGGAAGAACAGATGTTCTGGAGACTTTTCTGTTCTAAATTTAGAATTTTTCTCTGCACAGAGCCACAGACTCTTGAAATCCTGACTCATTAGGCAGATTTATGTTTAAAAGTGACCTGTGGAGGGGAATACATCTGCCTGGGTGTTCTTTGCAAGTCTTATTATGGAGGGAAAGGTATTTTCCTCCTTCAGTTTTTTAAGGGTTTTATTTGAACCTGTTATTAAAATTAAGTCTTGTCTGTCTTAGGTGATACCTTAATTTGGGGAGCTACCTAAAAAAAACCAAAACAAAACAGACAAAAAAACCCATCAAGAAAGTAAAAATAAGCTGTTGGTAGAATGCTGTCCTTATATTTACAATTTACTGAGTTTTGCTATCCTTGCATTAATAATTTAATGGATATTTTATGGCCTAGAATATAATTTTATTGGCTGAGTTAGCAGTTTTCTTTGTTAAAGATTGTAGATGTCTCCCTTCCGGTAAGGTGCTAACACTCACAATATGTAGCTGAGACATCCAAAACCAGCCAGCAAAATTGAGGAAGAACAGAATTATATTCTTGCTTTGTAGATATTTCAAAGCTTCTGGGGAATATCAGGGGTGACAGGAAAACCAAAGGCTTCTTCTGTGCATTATGGTGGATGAAGCATTTCTTTGAAATCCTTTTCAAGTACATAGAGACAACAGCAGCAGATGAAGCTAGAGGTTCTCATCTACTACAGTATCTTGTTTCCAGGATAATTAAGTTCCTCATTTTTTTCCCTAATATAGTCAGGCTTGCTACTGACTTAAAGCAAAAAGTTTGAAATAGTTATCTCATCTTAAAGTGTTGATATCAACAATTAACTTTTTCATATTACCATTAGGTATCGTTTGGGAGCTCACAAATGCATTGAGTGTTACTCAGAAATAAAAGATTTTGCAAGCCATTTTCCTGCTTATGTCCACTGTAGCTTATGCAGATACAACACTAGCTGTAGCAAAGCCTATGTGAATCACATGATGAGGTAAGCACTCTTGAAAATTGTTATTTGGTTATGAAATACTTCCTAAACTCATATAGGGCACGTTAAGTGTTTCTATTATCTGAATTTTGAACTGGGTCATAGAGCTGGCAGGGAAATGTATAAGGTTGGATTTCTACTTTGTAAGGAGGCCCTAAACCCCATGTTCTTGTTTTGCCTTAAAAATCCAGTGGTTCAGGCAATGTTCTGCCTTTGCTTCAGAGTTTCTGTGAGATCTTCTGTAATAATTTCAGCCAGACTTAACAATTAATGACTAACTGTTGTGTGTTCTCTGGGTTTCAGATTGAATACCTCATCTGATTTTACAAGCGGTGAATGCATTTAGCTACAGCTATTGCTAGTGAAAGCTGTACTCAGAAGACAGTGTAAAGAATATCTCAAATAGCATACTCAAGTAGATACCCCTTCTTATACTACTTCTGGTCATCCATAAAAATAACATCTCTTTTTGCAGGAGGTTTGTCACTGATCATGAGGCAGTGTAGGATATTGGTGATGACAGCTGTAAAAAAGCCTATTAAGAAAACAGATGTGTTAGTTTTCAGAGCAACAGAATTATACTACGCAGTAATTAGACACAGATCATGTAGCAGTGATGGTAAAAATAATAAAATAAAATCTACTGGTTAACCCAGTGCCCTGAACAAGCCAAATGTATTGTGGAAAAATACAGAATACAGTTGTCTTCTTAAATACCTATATGTATAAAATTCCTTGGTGTTTTTGAATGCTAGAACTCTGGAATTTATGACCCAAGCTTTTGTATGTATTTTATATGTTGACCTATTCATATGAATTTCAGTGCTTGTCTAAGTCCTAGACTGAAATAGTTTACATACTTTTATGCATATAATCTATTGGTTGCATGCTTAAAAAAGTAATAAAAGTTAATGTGCTTAACTTTAATTGTACAAGAGAAAGATTACTCCAGAAGGGGACAGGGCAATCTAAGGTAAACTGTTCTTACCATTGCCCATGTACTGGGTGTTGTTGAATTCAACCGTGCAGTAAAATAGCCGATGTTTTGTCCTTCGTGCACTAATACTCCCCCTACTTTGACCACTTACAGCACCTGTCGTTGCCTTTTTGGTGAGTGTAAGGAACAAGGGATGGTGAAGAAGAAGGCTGTTAGAAAGTGTTTTTGCAGTAGCAGCCCCTGTACTCAGCTACTCATTTTTTGTTTCACGTGGGAGTACAGTATTGGCACGTACTTAACCTGCATAAGAGATAACTTAGAGGTTGTCTGAAAATATGATTGTGAAGCTTTTAAAGCCATCTCTTTCGGAAGCATGACTTCAGCAAAGCTCCACTTCTTTTGTGGAGTACTGTATAGCTACAGCCATGGTGCTTCAAGAACCAAACTGCTGATGGAAGCAATGTAATAACTATGTTATGCAGGACTATGGTGATGAAGTTAAACCTTGCCCCTCCCAAACTTGTTATTTACAAGAGAGACAGTGTTTTAAACTAGAGCTGAGATTCAAAAGCCTGTAAGCTTTCAGCAATTTAATGTTTAGAATAATGCAGGTCAGTAAGTCTTTTTTAATGCCTTTTCACAAACAAATTGCAGTACCGTGTACTGTGTAGCGGATATGTGGAACAATGTACTCAAGAAAACCAATCTAAGTGGTAACTTTTTCTTTTATTTAGTTTTCACAGTGCTCGTCCAAGTAGAAGATTTTGGATCTATAAGAAGCATTCAGAAGAGCTACGGTAATTCAGCTTTTTTCAGTTACTATAGAATGATACGGGTTGGAAGGGACCTTAAAGATCATCCAGTTCTAATCCACCTGCCATGAGAAGGGACACCTTCTACTAGACCAGGTTGCTCAAAGCTTCATCCAGCCTGGCCTTGAACACTACCAGGGAGGGGGCAGCCACAACTTCTCTGGGCAACCTGTTCCAGTGTCTGACCACCCTCACAATGAAGAATTTTTTCCTAATATCTAATCTAAACCTGCCCTCTCTCAGTTTAAAACCATCACCCCTTGTTCTGTCATTAACTCCCCTTGTAAAAAGTCCCTCCCCAGCTTCCTTGTAGCCCCTTCAGGAACTGGAAAGCTGCTATAAGGTCTCCCTGGAGCCTTCTCTTTTCCAGGCTGAACAGCCCCAACTCTCTCAGCGTGTGATCTCCTACTGATCATTATATTTTTACTTTCTGATAATGAACTGATTAGTTAAATGAGATTAGAGCCTCTTGAATTTCTTGTCTCACACAATTTAGAAAGAGCAGGGAAATAAACTCTTCCACTAGCAGCATTCTGTTCAGTGATGCATATTTGTTATTTGTCCGTATTTACGAACTTCTTTCTTAACCCTGAGCCGTTTTAAAAAACATTTATATTTCTTTATTTTTCCAATTATTTGTAATGTGCAAAATGGGAGGTGGGAAGGGGAACAAAAGACCAAAGAAACAACCAAAACTGAGAAACTCGTGCTTTACAGATAAATTTTTGTTGGAAGTGGTTTTCTTTGTACTACATCAGCATGGAGATGCCCTGGTCATTGACTGGGATTTCCAGGTACTAATTGCAGTATAAAAAGTAAGAATGTTTTTGTGAGTTATCTCATGTAAAGTTGCAGGAAACTTTTTTTTAATAGTCTATCTGGTTGCTGTAAGTTCAGAAAACTGTTTTCACAACCATGTTGTATTTATACTTACTTTTTACTTTTTCTTCTCTAGGGGTGTGACTGTAGTATGTCTTAACTGTGATTTCCTGACTGATGTTTCTGGCTTAGATAGCATGGCCACACATCTGAGTGAAAGCGACACTCATACTTGTCAAGTTATTATAGAGAAAGGTGAGTACATATTGTCTTTTTGTATATAGTATACATATATAAACACTTACATGTGGATATCTCTGTGCTATTGCAGTCCTTTTTTCAGTTGTATTATAATTATTTCTGTGTATTTGGATTTGAAAGTGAGTACTCATGTATTTCAACATTTTAAAAGATTTTTAATTAAATCTTTTATTTTTATTTTCAGTTTCTGTAGATATCCCAGCTGCTGAACAAGTATCTGAGTAAGTTTTGCTTTACTACTCACTGTTTATTTCTATTAATTTAGTGACAGATGGCCAAAATTTGCACTTTGAACTTGGGTTTCTATTGAATTTCATAGAATTTGAAATGTATGGATGAACATAGACCCTTGCATTTACTAGTGCTTTTTGCTCTTGCCACATCCACGATTACAAGAGTGGATTACAAGAGAAAATTATTACCTACTGCAGCCAAAATCAAACCCGGGTTTTGGTTCATTTTGGACAAAGAGACATCAATAATTCTTGCAGTATTAGAACTTCTCAATCCTGACTTCTAAGTCTAGACATAATGAGACTGTTACTTCAACTTGCTTTTAATACTAGCTTTATTAAAGGAGTGGTTTATGTTCTTTATAATATTAATTTTAAACGGTGACTTTTATTGAAGTAGGGCAAATTCAGTCTTAATATTTCATAAATATTTACAAATTATTTTCAAAATTATGTTATATGACAAAGGTACACTGTGATGTGTTTACTTTTTAATTTTGACTCTCAAAGAAAAGTTAATATGAGGGGTTTGGCTGTCATTTTTTTTAAGGATTTGAAAAAGAACCTGCAGTATTATGGAAATTACGTTGCAGGGTTTGTTTGAGGGGGTTTTTCTTAACCTTGAAAAAATCAGATGTGCCAGGCCATCCCCAATTATCCTGGAACAGTACCTGAGACTTTACAATGTAGCTTATGGGGCTACTTATGTTTTAATTGAAAGTTCAGAGGTGTGTCAGTGGAATCAAACATTTGAGTTCTCTCTTAACTGTTTCAGAACACAGGAACAAAAATGTCAATTAGACTGAAAAGATAGGTGTTTTAAAAGACAGAAATAGCTTAATCCTGATTCAGTAACAAGGTATCAAACATATTCTCGTGTGTGATGAGAACTCTTCCAGCAGAGTAAGGAGTTCTTAGACCTCTAAGCATAAATCACCCATCACTGGGTGTTTGGAAATACCTCTAGTAGGTTATTTCATAACTTTTAAGTGTTTTCTTTCTTAGTTTCCATAAAGTGGCCAGTAAGAGGTGATACTGGAGTAATTTGTCATCTGATCCAAACATGGAAATATGTATCTTTGGATATAAGTAATAGTAGAGCAAAGTATATGCTATAAATTTCAAACCTCTACTAGTAACTGTTTAGCATGTGCAGTTGAATGAAACTGGTGGTCTGATGGGATGACTAATAGATATTATTAAAAAGAATTGAAGATATTCTGGTAGGAATGGACAGGGGAAGTAAGTTAATTTGGGAAAGTGTTCCAAAAAGCCATTTGAAAAACGAAAATTCTGGTTTTGGAACACAGAATATTGAAATTGGACAAAACACTGAAGAGAGTCATCTAGGAGGGTTAGCTATATTCCCTTCACTAATCCAGGGTGCCTTGTGCCCTTTAACAGTTTATATTTCAGTGAAACTCAAATAATGGAAAAATAAAGTGTTGAGCTGTGATATGACCTGAGCTTTTTTTCTTGGAGCTGGCTTTAGGTGTTGGGAATTAATTCTTGCTGAACTATATGTAAGGAAAGGTTATAGGTGTGTTTGAACAGTGGGGAAAGAGGTACAGTTGTGGCAGGCTGTTGTCAGTATTGCACAAGGATCTTGCTGTCTTGAATATATTACAGAGATGTCATATGAAAATATTTAACAATGTTGGATATACAAAGCATATGTTACTCAAAAACAGATGAGTAAGCACTGAAAAGATTTGCAGTAGAGTCAAGAATATGTGCAGGTTTGTTTCTGCAAGCTGTTAGATTAGGACAGATGTAGATAGCCACTATTTTTGAGAGCTCTGTTGTTGGCATAAGATTAGTTACTGGTACTACATGAGGTGATAGAATCTTTGGTGCTTTTTGAAACTGTCATGCTCATAGACTTCATTAATTTCAGTAAATCTTGTCCTGTTCCGTATACTAATTCTCTCATGCTTTGGACAAGAATATATCATTGCTAAACCTAAAAGCACAATGTACCCATGTAGCAGATTTTTTAATTCATTATTTGCGGTACAGAGTACAGACAAGAATGTTCCATCTTTTTTCGGGATGGTTCTTCATGGTACTCTATGGTTTGCTTTGGAAGAAGAGAAACTTGCAGACAGTATTCATAACTTCTGCTGTGTAGTTTGTCAATGATCTATGAATGTTTCTTCCCATTCTTTGACCTATATTTCACTGAGGTATGACTTGTTTATGGGGCTCTTCAGAATCACTTCATCAGCAGCAGCAATGACTAAAAGGCAGAATCTTGAATGCTTTTGGATCTTCTCTTGCATCTCTCTGGTGGTATCTTCTGATATTTTTTATTATATATCAGACTGTCTGTATGTGTTGTAAAAGTAATCTTTATTGCTAATGACCAGACATGTTCTATGAGCTCTTTGTACTGTTCATGAGACTGTCTTTGGACCAGAATCCTGCCATTAG